TTGTCAGTTACCAATGATATTCCTCTTGGGGTGTGATGTCCTTCCCACCTCTCCAACTCAGTCTGTCCTCTCTCACTGTGCCATGCCCCCGCCCACCCAGCCTCAGTTGGCAGGTGAACAGAGGCATCCACACACCTGGACCGCCTGAGTCAGTCAGCTTGAGCAAGGTACTTACACCTAAAAAGAAGTGATGCTAGTGCCCTGGCATGTCAGGGAGCAGATTCCTGACTCCTATCTCAGGCTAGGCCTGAGACGACCTGAAACATTATCTTGGATCACCCAGCAAATTCTTTTTAGATGCCAGTCTGCATCATGTTAGCCCAAGTGTTGTTTTTATGTGCAACAGCAGCTGCACTGGCGGACTGTCAGTGGGGCTGGAGCGGGTCAGGGAAGTATTGTTGAGTTGGAAGGGAGTTTTCTGTCAATCTGGATTTCATTTGAAAAACAAAACAACAAAGGGGTATCAATTATATCGTAAAGTAGAACTCCTTGGGAAGTACAGAAGCTTTGGATCTGCTGGGTTTTATTGAAATAGTTGCTCAGCTTTGCTGGCCCCAGCTTACACAGGCACAGCCAAGAGGATGAAAGACAACTGCCAACAAAATGATCAAATCCAAAGCAGCCTCTACCCCAACCAAGCTTAGGATTCCATAAAACATAGGCATGAAAAACTCTGCGGCCTGCTCCAGAGCCTAAGCCCATGTTCATTATCAGTATGGCATCATCAGTGGGTATGATATCAACACTAGGTCTTCTGGCAGTCCATCAAAGTAGTCCATTCAAATCGTGGAAATAGCAGCGTCTCACAATGGTAAGTTTCTTTGTCTGGACACAGACACAGGGTGGCCCACACCCAAGCACTAAGCATCCATGTCCTTCATTAGAAGAACATTCAAATGGTCACACAGGACCCATTCAGGCCCATGGTTTGGTTTCTAAAGTTGATGAAATACATTAACAATCTAACAGCTGTCAGATCAGGATGGTGGGATATGAACAGTTTTGCTCTTTTAATCTATTCCTTCAGTCTGTTTTTCACTGTAGTCACATTGTTTTTAAATAAGTTAATTTAAAAGATTAAAAAACTATAGCTTTCAAAAGATTTTAAAAGGAGGGATTACTGTATCTCAAGCACTTCTTGCATTCTTTAATAATTGCTTATAGAGCCTCAGTGGGTATAATTTATATCACTGACTACAGAATTCTAACACCTAAAAATGACAGCCCCATTTTTTGTTTAGGTAGCCATTCCCTGGACCTTTGGTTTCATTAATCTTCCTCCAGGTACACCAGCCAGAGGCTGCCATCTGGGGTCACACCTGCACATCCCAGAAATGGCAATTTTACAGGAAAATAACATTTCATTGTCAGTACTCCCCTCCCCCTCTCCCAACTTCCCTCCTAAAGACAGACCTTATCTTTAGAAATTGTCTACAGTTATCCCCAGACAGATATGATCCTTTAGCCGAATCATAACTGTTTAATCAGCAATAGGCGCAAAATTCCCTTTCTCCCTAAATGATTTACACATTCCACTGCTGTTTGTCACTTTAATACACATGGACAGGAAATCTTTCAGGTAAGAAACGAATTTCTCTCTTGTATTCCCAACACGTGGAGCAGTAACCTACCCAGTAAGTGCTCAGTAAATAGTGTTGAATGAGCAAATGGTGAACTTGGTTTTCCTGTTATTTTGGCTCAACAGATAAAAGCAGTTAAGTGCATTTCTTGAATGATGTGATAGGGAAATCTCCACCACAGGAAAAGTTTATAAATACTTACTTTTTTTTTTTTTTTTTTTGAGTCGGAGTCTCACTCTGTCACCCAGGCTGGAGTGCAGTGGCACACTCACGGTCACCCCAGCATTGACTTGCTGGGTTCAGGTGATCCTTCCACCTCAGCCTTCCAAGTAGCTGGAACTACAGATGTGCACTACCATGCCCAGCTAATTTTTTTTTTTTTATTTATTGTAGAGACGAAGTCTCGCCAAGTTGTCCAGGCTGGTCTCAAACCCATGGGCTCAGGCAATCCACTCATCTTGGCCTCCCAAAGTGCTGAGATTACAGGCTGAGCCACCGAGCCCGGCCAAATACTTATGTTTTATTAAGGACAAAGCAAGAAACCATTGGAGGCTAAACCAAATGACCTCTAGGGTTCCTTTCAACTCCTAGAACCTACAACCTGATTAACACCATGGACCTTAAGAGAGTGTGGCTCAGTTACCTAAAGCCTGATTCCCGGGTGAAGTAAGGAAATGTCTCATTTTATTTAAAATAAAGATAACAGTTGCCCCAAGATTTGGATGCAAAGATACTAATTTGTCCAAAATGTAGTCACATCACTGGGGAGAAACACTCTTGCTAATCATGTCACACTGGAAACAGCAGATGTGCTTCAGGGTCTCAGGGCTGAGTGTGAAAACCATCAGGAAGAAACAGAGAGGCCAGGCATCAAGATTACAACAGAAAAACAAATACAGTATCATACTCAACTGAAGCTTCTGTTTTGCACTTAACAAATCCACTTAAGCATATCCGAATTTAGCCTTGAGGTTCAAATGGTTTTAACTGAATATAACTACTTAATAAGATAGAAAGTAGTCTTTGACATGTAAGCATTTTTGCACATTAAAATGTCACATTTACCTGGAATCGCCAATTCAAGAAAGTCTAAAATTACTTAGACTAAATTTTTATTCAATCTGGAGGGGAAAGGCAGTTTGTAGAGAAAGTAGACACAACACTTGTGTTTTCCTAAACAACCTTTAAAAAAAAACCTATCTCTAAAGGAGTTTCTGGGGAAATTCTATTCACACATAAATAAACCCTGAAGTAGTTCTTTTCTCTCGAACTCATGAACTCTAATGTGTTGAGGTGCCACCCAGACCCACAGAGCCAGGTTTGAAGAATCTTCCCCGTCCACTGGCTTGGTTTTAAAGACATAGCTGCAGAGCCCACACTTAAGACAGCAATCCAATGAACAAAGTGCAACAGTTTGACACTTACTGGGAAATGGGAAATGTGATCTCACGTTGTACTGTCTTAAAAGGCTTTCCAGCTTTTTAGTCAATTCCTGATCATTCATACAACTTAATAAAAAAAAAAGTCTTGTTTTTAAATTGTAATTTATTTTAATGCCAGTCACAACGGGGAAAGTGCAAAAGAAGTTACCTCCTCTATGTACATATACTTTTTCAATCTCCTCTGTTATCTAAAGAGGGAGGTCTACACAAGAGTTCTGTGCCACTAAGCTCACATATGGTTGGCAGACCTGGTGTTGGATATGAGGGCCACACAACTAAATCTTAAATACACACACTGCTCCTATTTAACGGACACATATGAACTAATTCATTTATAGAAAATGTGCGGCAAATTATTTCTTCCACCTCCCCCAGTCCTCAAGAATGCACCAGCAATAGGTGTTACTGAAAAAGACACACACCCCCACAGAATATTTGCATTCCTAGATGCCTGCCAACTTATCTAAAGCAGATATTTTAGTTCTCTGAATCTGTGTCTTGGTAATAAGTATAATGGGGAGTGGGGGTGCGTGGGAGAGTCATTTAACCAGATAAACTTGACCTCTATGGACCTCAATTTCCTGACCAGAAAAATAAAGGGCCCAGCCCAGAGACTGTGCCAATTCCCTCAATAACAACAATCTATGACCACTAATTATCAAGAGCACAATTTGTGTGCAAGAGGAAACCAGAATTCTAAAGAGTATGTCATCAACTGGTGGAGCTGAAAAGGCCTAAAAGACACAGCTGCACTTCATATGCCCAACGCACATCTTCCGACCACGGAAAACGCCTTTGAACACACCGCGGCGACAGGACCACCAAACCGAATTAGGACGCACAGCGGGGCCCGCAAACTTTCCGCGAGGGGGCAGGGCGCAAAGGCGCGGGTGTCTGTGGAGAAACCAGGAGGAGACGCGGCAGGAGCCAGGAGTCTGAGCGCACAGGATCTCCCCGAAAGACTTTTGTCTCTAACTACAAAATCCCCCAAGCCGCCCCCTGCGGCTGCACCGCCCTGGGAAGGAGGAGAGGGAAACGGAAGGGGCGGTGGGGTGGGGAAGGACCTCGCCCGAGGCGCCCCCAAAGCCAGGGAGAGGAAAGAGGACCTCCAGCGTCGCGAAGAAAAGGGGGAAGAGGAAAAAAGAGGACCCCGCCTTTTCCATCCCGCTCGGCTCCTTTCAATAAAAAGGAAAGGCCGCCGCCCTATCCCTGCGGCTCCCACGCGGGGATGTGGAGCCGCCGGCTAGCCGCGCCCTCCCAGCCCCGCTCCGCGTCCTCCCCGCAGCGACCGGCTCCGCCCGCCCTCGGCCCATCCCCGGGGCGAGCGCAACCCTCACACCCCCTTCCCTTCGGGCCGTGGGACACCCGAGTACCCACGCCCCCGCCTCCTTCCCTTCCCCGCGGCCCCCCCAGCCCCAGACCCTCCAGCACTTCCACCCACCCACAAGGAGCCTCTGGAAAACTTTGTGCGCGCGTCCAGGGCTTTGTCCACGTCCTGGCCAGGGCCCGCTCCCCCGGAGAGTGCCCAAGGCCGGCCGGCTCTCACCAGGCGCAGGAGAGACGCAGGGAAGTACGACCCCGGGAGCCCGCTGCCACGGCCGCGCGACACACGGCGGCGGGCTCGCGGTTCCCACGCCCCACGGCCCGCGCGGTGAACCGGGGGTCACGTCTGAGTCCGGCGCCCCCGG